AGCCGCACTCGGCCAGATCACCTGTCTCCCGCTCTGCGTCCTGCAGCCGCCTCCGCGGAAATTTGCTATTCATGAAGTGTGGATGGCGGGGAGAGCCCAGGTGGCTTCAGCGCTCCAGGGTCGCGTCCCCCCTTCCTGGTCCTGGGCTGGCTGGATCCCAGCGGTTGGACAGGGCTCATGCTAAGGCAAGCAATGCCGCCGAACCTCCGCCCGCCCCCCGGGTCCCACACGGGAGTGGGCCCCCTGTCTCCGGTGGGCTGTGGGCAGTGGGCAGTTGAGGGCTCCGGCCAGGCGATCGGCACCGCTTGCCTTGGCCCCAGCCCCCGCCCGCCTCCTGATCGCACACGGGAGTGGGCCCCCTGTCTCCAGTGGGCGGGCGAGGGCTCCAGCGAGGCGATCCCCACCCCAGGTAGGTTCACATATGGGTACCTCCAGCACCTAAATTTTGAATTCTTGTTGCTCTATGGGATCCTTTTCCTGAAGGGCAGCAGAACTCAGTGCAGTTGGCTGAAACTAAAACTAGGTGGTCAATCAAGCAGTGTGTATAGTGGCTCTCACCAAACAGGTTGTCATAAGTTGTGCTTCCCATTTGCTGCTCATCTTCTAAAGCCACCTTAAGGGATTAACTGGTGGGAAAATTGATATAAGACATCCTTTAAATTCATATAAGGATGAAATCTGAAGTCCTACTAGTATACACATCTGTTGAAAGTATAGGAAAGGTCAGGTTAGGAACATTTTATGGCACCTATCTCACTTGGGCAAGATTAAGTTAACTGGTCCCACCTCCCCAAAAGGACAGAACCAGCTCCCCACTAATAAAAGGGAGGGGACCCTGTGGAAACAATGCAGAGAGCTAAGAAGCTGTTGAGAGCCCAAACCGGTTTGGCTCAGTGGATGGAGCGTCGGCCTGCGGACTGAAAGGTCCCAGGTTCGATTCCGGTCAAGGGCATGTACCTTGGTTGCGGGCACATCCCCAGTAGGAGATGTGCAGGAGGCAGCTGATCAATGTTACTCTCTCATCGATGTTTCTAACTCTCTATCTCTCTCCCTTCCTCTCTGTAAAAAATCAATAAAATATATTTAAAAAAAAAAAAAAGAAGCTGTTGAGAGAGCTGATAGAGAAAGGTGGGGAGGACCTTAGCAAAGAGTTTGAGTCTATTAGTGCTGAGCTATTCAAATAGGTCAGTCTTGACCAAAATCTCTTCATAAGATCTCACTGCAAAATTAAAATGCCCAATACAATTCCTCCAATTGTTTCTTCGTACTTCTTCCACACCACACATGGTATATTTCCCAAAAGAAATGGTTTTGAAAAAAGAAAAGCAGGAACAAAACTTACTGTTCTAAAAAGTCTCAGGAGAACCTGGAAGATCATGGGGCAGTTTGGGGTTCTCTCAGACAACTCTCAAGTCAGCACCCCAGTTCTAGTTAGGGGTCCTACTTTCTAAGCAGGGATTTAGAGTATTTTGCTAGCTGTCAATCATAATTTTCTGGATCAGTCTGATGTTCTTGATAAATTCCTTCAAGGAATTCACTTGGTCCACCATGGCTACTTACTTAGGCTACACTGAAATCACCAGCTAGTGATTTTGTGTTAGTCTCCCCAAATCCCTTCAGTATTTGTAACTTTTTACTCTGAAAGTGAGAATCCTGGCTCTTGATCCTTAATATATTTATTCTTTGATCACCCTGACAGTATGAAGCCAATTTCTCACCAATGTTTCTACTTCTTCTCCTGCATGCCTTCCTCAATCCTCTCCAGCACTATGCTAGACATTTCCTCCACATGGACCCCTCCTTACCTTATGTGGACTTTAGCATGTCCTACCTATTCCTCACTGTGCTCTGGCTCTGACACTCATTGGAGTGTCCATCAGGCTTCCTCCATGCGTTGGAATTCCTTCACTACATGGGCTCTGACCCCTTGCTGGGGGCCACCTCCATTCCCCTTCTACACCCTGCACCTCTGACTGCCAGAACAGATGTGGACTTTGTT